AAGTCTTTATTGTGTCAAGGTTTCACTTGATAAAATAAAAATTTATGAGAGCAGAACATTCTTGCTTGTTCTACATGAGTCTTTGTCTTCAGACTTTTCAACTGTATGTTCCTCAACCATTTCCATTCTTGTCAGCATCAGACAGTAGCAGAGATAATTTTATGTAGTATGCATAATTATTTAATTTATTAATGCCATAATTTTGGTTTGTCTTACTCATTGTGTAATTTCTCATTTCCAGAAAGATAAGACTGATAAATGAAAATAATGGTACTTTTTGAGATACAGTATCTGTTTTGTTTTTGGCATTGTAGATCATTCCGAGACAGTAATAAAAAAAATGCTGCTTTTTACACTGGTTTTCTGTAACCTTTCATAAATAATTTGGAATACTATTTTAAAACATTTTTGTTTATGGTCAAAACATTGGCTAAAGAAGATTAGGGAGAGATAATGTTGAGTTTTATTAAACTCATTAGAAGTGATTTACATTATAAAGAATTTACATTGTAGCAGCTTACATGCAAACAATACGTATAGGTATAGAGAGAAGCCAATTTACTTGCTAGACTAGCTAATTAATCAGGCTGGGGTCTCATGGCAAGACAACCAGTGCCAGTGTGTGGATTATTTGGTTGTCTTGCGAGTTCAATGTTATCAACTGTTCTGTTCATCAGAGAGTATGTCATCTTCATTTCAGTTGTTTTCAAGGCTCTGACATGCTTGTCCACTCTCCTCTGATGGTCCTGGTCCCATCTTTAATGCAGATTCTCTGATTTTTTAACTGATCAAGATTAGTGTTTCTTTTTTTTTTGTAAAGCTACAGTACTGTAATTAAAATTCTTAATTGACACTGGTTTGCTATAGCAGTGTCACAGCAGGCAACAAGTACCATCTTACCATCTTTTCAGCCAATATCCTTCCCTTAACACCTCCTCCCTTCCCCTCTGCTATTATCACCTCTACCATGTAGCATTCACTGATCCTTATGCTTTCAATCAAAGGAGTTAAACCCACGCTCTAATTCCTTGAACCTGAATGTCTTCCATTCATCCAGGTGATGTATGACCCATATTGGTTTAATAATAATATAATACAGTGCTGCCCCTATGGGTTTAGTGCTCCCTATGAATACATATAAGAATGATCCTTATGGGTTTAGAACTTTCCATGTTTATAATAATTAGGCAAATTCACAACATCAGTTCCCTGATGCCTTCATCCTGTTTGACCTCTCTGGAAGTCCCATCTTTATTTAAATGCAGACCTGGTTAACCTAGTAGGTCACCTGCTGATCCACTGCACCTAATACGTAATAAATAGGTACTGTGAGTGGCTTCTGGGAAATTCATACTCCCACAGTCCAGCCTGTGGGTAGGCTTTTTTAGTTCTTGCCTAATCAACCAGGCTTGTATTTGGCAGCCCACATTTCTTCTGTTGCTACTCTTGCAACATTGCATAGCTCCTGATGATGCACAGAGACATGTGGGTGGCCCGATGGCCTGGTGGCTAAAGCTCCCGCTTCACACACGGAGGGCCTGGGTTCGATTCCCGGCGGGTGGAAACATTTCGACACGTTTCTTTACACCTGTTATTGTCATGTTCACCTAGCAGCAAATAGGTACCTGGGTGTTAGTCGACTGGTGTGGGTCGCATCGGGGACAAGACTGAGGACCCCAATGGAAATAAGTTAGACAGTCCTCGATGACGCACTGACTTTCTTGGGTTATCCTGGGTGGCTAACCCTCCGGGGTTAAAAATCCAAACGAAATCTTATCTTATCTTATCGTAATGTACTCGAGCTGAAGATTTCCTTCCTCTGTTGCTTGTCTTGCATTATTTAAAAAGTCGAAAGTGAACATAGGTAAGAGTAAGGTGATTAGGGTATCAAACGATTTAGATAAAGAAAAATTGGATATCACATGGAGAAAGGAGTATGGAAGAAGTGAATATTTTCAGATATTTGGGAGTTGACTTGTCAGCGGATAGGTTTATGAAAGATGAGGTTAACCATAGAATTGATGAAGAAAAAAGGTGAGTGGTGCGTTGAGGTACATGTGGAGACAAAAAACGTTATCCATGGAGGTAAAGAAGGGAATGTACAAAAGTATAATGGTACCAAAACTTATATGGGTATGAAGCTTGGGTTGTAAATGCTGCGGTGACGAGGTGGCTGGAGGCAGTGGAAATGTCATGGCTAAGGGCAATGTGTGGTGTAAATATTATGCAGAGAATTTGGAGTGGAAATTAGGAGAAGGTGTGGAGTTACTAAAAGCATTAGTCAGAGGGCTGAATAGGGGTTGTTGAGGTGGTTTGATCATTTAGAAAGAATGGAACAAAGTAGAATGACTTGGAAAGCATATAAATCTGTAGGGGAGGGAAGGCAGGGTGGGGGTCATCCTCAATAAGGTTGGAGGGAGGGGGTAAATGAGGTTTTGTGTGTGAGGGGCTTGGACTTCCAGCGGGCATGCGTGAGCGTATTTGATAGGAATGAATGGAGACAAATGGTTTTTAATACTTGATGTGCTGTTGGAGTGTGATCAAAGTAACATTTATGAAGGGATTCAGGGAAACCGGCAGGCCGGACTTGAGTCCTGGAGATGGGAAGTACAGTGCCTGCACTCTGAAGGAGGGGTGTTAATGTTGCAGTTTTATAACTAGTGTAAAGCACCCTTCTGGCAAGACAGTGATGAAGTGAATGATGAAAGGTTTTCTTTTTCGGGCCACCCTGCCTTGGTGGGAATCGGCCAATGTGTTAATAATTATACTATATATATATACGGCCGGTGTGTTGAAAGAAATATATATATATATATGGGTGTGAAGCTTGGGTGGTAAATGCAGCAGCGAGGAGACGGTTGGAGGCAGTGGAGATGTCCTGTTTAAGGGCAATGTGTGGTGTAAATATTATGCAGAAAATTCGGAGTGTGGAAATTAGGAAAAGGTGTGGAGTTAATAAAAGTATTAGTCAGAGGGCAGAAGAGGGGTTGTTGAGGTGGTTTGGTCATTTAGAGAGAATGGATCAAAGTAGAATGACATGGAAAGCATATAAATCTATAGGGGAAGGAAGGCGGGGTAGGGGTCGTCCTCGAAAGGGTTGGAGAGAGGGGTAAAGGAGGTTTTGTGGGCAAGGGGCTTGGACTTCCAGCAAGCGTGCGTGAGCGTGTTAGATAGGAGTGAATGGAGACGAATGGTACTTGGGACCTGACGATTTGTTGGAGTGTGAGCAGGGTAATATTTAGTGAAGGGATTCAGGGAAACCGTTATTTTCATATAGTCGGACTTGAGTCCTGGAAATGGGAAGTACAATGCCTGCACTTTAAAGGAGGGGTTTGGGATATTGGCAGTTTGGAAGGATATGTTGTGTATCTTTATATGTGTATGCTTCTAAACTGTTGTATTCTGAGCACCTCTGCAAAAACAGTGATAATGTGCGAGTGTGGTGAAAGTGTTGAATGATGATGAAAGTATTTTCTTTTTGGGGATTTTCTTTCTTTTTTGGGTCACCCTGCCTCGGTGGGAGACGGCCGACTTGTTTAAAAAAAAAATATATATATATATATATATATATATAATATATATATATATATATATATATATATATAATATATATATATATATAATATATATATATGTCGTGCCGAATATGTAAAACTGGTCAATTAGCAAGAACTCATTTAAAATTAAGTCCTTTCTAAAAATTTCTCTTATACGTTTGAAGATATATTTTTTTCAATTAATGTTAATGTCAATATTTTTAATTTTGCACCAAAAGAATCTTAGAAAACCTACCTAACCTTATTATAACAAGCGCAATTTATTTTAGCCTAATCCTACTAAATATATTTTAAATACGTTTACAGTAATTTAATACTAAACAAACACAATGAAATATATTTTTTTCGTAATGTTTAGAATGAATTTTACGAAATTATTGCATACACAAATTTTCTCTTGTCCTATATGGCAAGATGAGCCTTGCTATTTAAGCCAACATCGCAAGTTCTGCCTATTCGGCACGACATATATATATATATATATATATATATGTCGTGCCGAATAGGCAGAACTTGCTATCTTGGCTTAAATAGCAACGCTCATCTTGCCATATAGGACAAGTGAAAATTTGTGTATGCAATAATTTCGCCAAAATCATTCTGAACCTAACGAAAAAAAATATATTTCACTGTGTTTGTTTAGTATTAAATTATTGTAAACAAATCTAAAATATATTTAGTTGGGCTAGGCTAAAATAAATTGCGCTTGTTATAATAAGGTTAGGTAAGTTTTCTAAGATTCTTTTGGTGTAAAATTAAATTTTTTTTACATTAACAATAATGAAAAAAATATATCTTTAAACGTATAAGAAATTTTTTTAGAAAGGACTTAATTTTAAATGAGTTCTTGCTAATTGACCAGTTTTACATATTCGGCACGACACACATTATATAATATATATATATATATATATATATATAATATATATATATATATATATATATATATATATATAATAATACATACATATACCTCTAGAACTGGACTGGGGACCCTCATCCTCAGAGAATAAAGGTACTTCAGGAAAAACTCAATCATACACTGCCTGTCTCTGCTTCAGTATACTCCGACTACGGAAGTTACGTCAGTATATACACTGCAACAGAGATACACAGTATTGTTCTGAATTTATACAGAGGCACAAGTGTGGCTCTACTGAAACAGTGGGCAAGTGCCATGACATACTGCCACAAGTCATCGTCATTTTCATATTGATTCGGGTGGTTGAGCAGCGCAGCTGGAGGGAGGGTGACGCTAAATGAAGTTTGAAACCTATCCACTGCGCAATGCTTATTAGGACAACATATCGCCTATTCACCACCAGTCAAAAATACTGTAATCCCCGAAACCGGGATTAAAGTGAACTTTAAAGGTATATAAACTGAGATATATATTTATATATACACATCCCTGGGTATTTACACGGAGGGAGGGGGGTGCTAGAAGCAGTAGTCCGCCAGCCGTCACAGGAGCAGCACTAGGCCGGGCGGACTCCGGCCTCACCTCAATGATATTTCTTGAAACTCGACTGTGATCTCATCTATGGCCTTTTTTAGTATTAAGTGCGTTGTAACAAGTGATCCGGTGAATAAGGCTTCTACGTTAATGAGTATTTGAAGAATATGTGCAGTATAGTGTTAGTTTAATCAGTGTTAAGGGGGGGGGGGAGGTCGACCCAGTAGCCTAGTACAGTGTTATAATTGTGTTATATTACAACTATTATGTCTAACTTTGTGTTTTGGTGCCTTGATGCTGGTGGAGTGCTCTTGATCCAAGGTGTGAAGGACGTAGTTCAAACATAATTATGTAGAACAAAGACTTAATTGGGACAACGTTTCGCTCTACGGTAGGTAGAGATTTTTTTCAAGTGACCTAAAAATGAAATGTGTATGTCAACGTGTGGGGGGGTCACCACCTGATGTGTGTGTCAACGTGTGGGGGGTCACCACCTGGTGTGTGTGTCAACGTGTGGGGGTCACCACCTGGTGTGTGTGTCAACGTGTGGGGGTCACCACCTGGTGTGTGTGTCAACGTGTGGGGGGTCACCACCTGGTGTGTGTCAACGTGTGGGGGGTCACCACCTGGTGTGTGTGTCAACGTGTGGGGGGTCACCACCTGGTGATAACGAAGTTAACTGAATCTTCGAGTACACAGGACCCAAGTGGAGCCCACAACACTCCCGTCTTCGAAACCGCGTTAATGACCAGCTTGATAGTTTGTATTTTATACCTGACAGCCATCATATAGTCGGCAGTGGCAACATTACAGTCACATAACGGTCCCAGACTTCAACATACAGACCGAGCCGAGGGGGCGTTGACCCCCGAAACCCTCTCCAGGTATACTCCTGGTATACTGGTACACAAGTTAAAATAGCAGTCGTATTACTGAATCTCTCATCATATATAACACCCTTGTTAAGTCCCCTTTTTTCCTGACAGACAAAATTCTTGTTAAAACACTACTATAGCTGAATGCAGAGAACAGTAATATAACTTTAGTTATAAAGTTAAAACATATATAAGAAATATACTGCCATGGGAAGCGATAAACCCTGCTTTTGAATAATTAATAAACTGCATTCACACGCGTTCTTCCACTGTTTGACTCAGGTATGAAAACACTGCTACAAAATACTCCACTTGACGCAAATAAAGGAAAACTGCGTCCATGACACAAGCACTACAACAACACTGACAAACACTACAACAACATTGACAAACACTACAACAACACTGACAAACACTACAACAACACTGACAAACACTACAACATCACTGACAAAACTACCAACCTACAACACACACTGACAAACACTACAACACTGACAAACACTACAACACTGACAAAGACTACAACAACACTGACAAAGACTACAACAACACTGACAAAGACTACAACAACACTGACAAAGACTACAACAACACTGACAAAGACTACAACAACACTGACAAAAACTACAACAACACTGACAAACACTACAACACATGACAAAGACTACAACAACATGACAAAGACTACAACAACACTGACAAAGACTACAACAACACTGACAAAGACTACAACAACACTGACAAAGACTACAACAACACTGACAAAGACTACAACAACACTGACAAAGACTACAACAACACTGACAAAGACTACAACAACACTGACAAAGACTACAACAACACTGACAAAGACTACAACAACACTGACAAAGACTACCAACACTGACAAACACTACAACAACACTGACAAGACTACAACAACACTGACAAAGACTACAACAACATGACAAAGACTACAACAACACTGGCAAAGACTACAACAACATGACGAAGACTACAAGCATGACACAAACACTACACATGACAAGACTACCAACACCCACACAAACTACAGCACAACAACCTGACAAGACTACAACAACACTGACAAAGACTACAACAACATTGACAAAGACTACAACAACACTGGCAAAGACTACTACAACATTGACGAAGACTACAGCATTGACACAAACACTACACAGTGACAGACTACCTCACCCACACAAACTACAGCATCACACCGACAAACACTACAATGACATAAGCATTACACTACTGACACAAACACAACATTATTGACAGTCTAAGAGGCCAGAGACTACAAACCTCCCTCGAGGAAAAAGATCTTGGGGTGAGTATAACACCAAGCACATCTCCTGAGGCACATTAACCAAATAACTGCTGCAGCATATGGGCGCCTAGCTAATCTAAGAATAGCATTCCAACATCTTAATAAGGAATCTTTGAGAACCCTGTACACTGTGTACGTTAGGCCTATATTGGAGTATCCAGCACCAGTTTAGAACCCACACCTAGCCAAGCACGTAAGGAAATTAGAGAAAGTGCAAAGGTTTGCAAAAAGACTAGTTCGGAGCTAAGGGTATGTACTACGAGGATAGGTTAAGGGAAATCGACCTGACGACACTGGAGGACAGGAGAGATAGAGAGGATATGATAACGACTTATAAAATACTGAGAGGAATCGATAAGGGGGACAAAGAACGTTCCAGAGATGGGACACAGCAGCAAGGGGTCACAACTGGAAGTTGAAGACTCGTGTGAATCACCGGGATGTTAGGAAGTATTTCTTTAGTCACAGTTGTCAGGAAGTAGAATAGTTGGGAAGTGATGTAATGGAGGCAGGATCTATATACATAGCTTTAAGAAGAGGTATGATAAAGCTCATGGAGCAGGAAGAGTGACCTATTAGCGACCAGTGAAGAGGCGGGGTCAGCTGTGACTCGACCCCTGCAACCACAACTAGGTGAGTACAAACACTACATTACTGAAACAAATGTTACTGACACAAGTACTACGTTACTAACTACATCACTGACACAAGCACTACATACTGACAAACACTACATTACTGACACAAACATAACATCACACTGAGAAACACTACATCACATTAGCTGTACCACATACAAATTAACATCACAAACACATACAAGTAACTACAAAAGAACGCTTCATAATTTATAAGCAAGATGTAGCAGTGAGTGCTCTTGCCCTCCTGGCTACATAGATCAACTTAAATATTGAGTGAATTTTTTGCATACAAGAGCAAAATTAGAATAGCGTGCAGGTTAATAGTAGTTAGTTTGCTATTAAACTTAACTAGTACAGTAGTATAAGATACGAGTATAACACCTGGGTGTCTTATGATACGTTATACCAACAAGTGGCTTTATCAATTCAATACAGAGATCATTTGAAGGTGTTGAAACTGGAGGCAGTAGCAGATGAGGTAATCAGTCCCCTAGCCTGGATGAAGGTGTTCACCACTGTAGTCTTACTGATAAAGCCATTGGCTGGCGAAACGTGTTTAAAATAAACGCACTCAAGTGTTGCACGTTTCTTATTCATCAACTTGTCGGTATTGTATATCATTACTGCTACTGCAAATCGCAGTAGTTAGTGTTATTATGGCGCTATTTTTGTTTAAATGGAACCTTAACGCGTTATACTCTGCACATTGATTGTATACAATACTGACTAGATAAGGAATTAGACACATGTACAACACCTGGGCTGCACATCTGCAGCCCAGGTGTGAGGCGGGGCTCCTGGGACGCCAGCCTAGTCTGCATACACTAGACAGTTAAACATTTCAGTGCTGAAACTCGTGTTTTTTCAGTGCAGATTCTTTGATAATGCACTGATGACTAGTGTTTGATATGGGTTAATTGGTTTACTATGCTGTATCAAAAGAAACTTCAGGTTAAGCGAGTCGCTCGATCGCTAGCGCACTCGGCTCACACAATGGTCCAGGGGTCGATTCCCCGGTGCAGCAGGAAGCATTAGGACGTGTTTTCTCAAGGCACCTCCTGTCCATATTAACCCATCAGTAAAATGGGTACCTGGGTGTTAGTCGACTGGTGTGTGTAGCATCCTGGGACAAAATTGACCTATTTTGTTTGAAATGCTATGCAAAATTAACAAGGGGCTTTCCGTAAAGTAATGTCATTAAAAAACCAAACCATACCACGGGTGGGGTTTGATCCCGCGGTATGGTTTGTTTGCAATCGTGTCATTAAGATTTCGTGAGTCGAGTTAATATGCCATTGATGTCAGCTAGACCTGTATACTTTGTACATGTACTTGTAGAGATAAAGATTATTATGATTTAAGCATCGTATAGAGCTTGTATGGAACCAGTGGTGCTAAAGCAAGTCAAGGAAGATTCCAACATGGCACTTAGAAGCAGTTAACAGTGTAGTTAAAACCAGGGCCGCGGTATTATCCATTAGGCGCTATAATCACTGTCTACGGCCTACGAAAGTTTTGACCCTACGAAAAATTTTGTGAACTAAAATCACGTTTATCCGAAAAACTGAAAAGCGAACTATAGAATCAAAATTCATCTCTCTAAATCAAATATATTTTTTCTAAGGCACAAACTTCTATTATTGCGTATATCTTTTGTATAGATATATTCAGTGGGGGCTACGATAGCAAGTGTCTCTCGGACCTACGACGGTCTTCTAACCTGGTTAAAAAAGACTCCGAATATGACTGACAAAACCCAGGTTCAGAAATTCCCAGAGAATACCTCTGAGAGTCAGTCCCACATGTGGTTTCCAGCTGTTTTTCGGTTATGGTTGTCATTTATCCATAAGAAAATAACCCATCATAATATACCACAACGTAAAAATGATAAATATAGGATAGAGGCAGTTAATAAAAAGCTCTGCCGCACGACCAGAAAACTGGTAGTCCCTGAAAATAAATGTCACATTTTTCACTGCGTAAGGCAACTTGATCAGTTACCCATTTGATTGTTTGCAACAGTGAAATGTTTGTCAGTAGGAGGATGCGCTAAAAAATGACTCCTTGTTTGTGAGGCTGTGTTCCTCCCCTTCCCCTCCCTCCTCCTTACTGGAGGTGTCTTCATCGTGATGCATGTTTTGTAAACCGACAGGTTGAAGATTGAAACACTTATGCAACATATGGGAATCGTTATTGAGAAAACGTTTCGCCACACAGTGGCTTCATCAGTCCAATACAAAGCAGAAAGGTGTAAGGAGAGGAGTAGTTTGAGGTAATCAGTCCCTCAGCCCGGAGTCGATGTGTTCAGTCCATCAGTCTTGTAGAATAAAGGTTCCCATGTGGTGCACAAGTGCCTCAATCTTCAAGTTGGCTTCATTGTTATTATTGCAATGCACAGATAACTCGCAAATAGGAGACAAACTTAGCACGACGTTTCGGTCCAATTTGTACCATTGACTAGTTACACTAGTCTACTACGTGCGGGTTATGTGTGTACTGTCCCAGTCACGGTATTGTACCTCTTTATTCTTTATTATTACAGTCATGAACTGACCGCTAAACCTGTTGGAGTCGTACAACACCTGAGGGGGGGGGGAATTGGGCGGCAATTAGGTTTGATTCAAGGAAGGGAGAGTCAGGTTCAGTTCCCCGAGTCAGGAGCCCCTAATTGAAGTCAAGGAACTTGTGAGTGAAGGAGAGTGCTTTGATGCTGATGAGAGGCTCTTAATTCAAGGAATCGAACTTCCACCCCCTTCGTAGGATCAAATTTGATTATCTTAAGTTATGCTACCGCCACAGCGATCGACTAACACCCAGGTACCTACTTACTGCTAAGTAAACAGGGGCAGCAGGTGTTAGGTAACTTGTTCAGACGTTTCCACTCGTTAGAGTATCGAACCCCGGTCCCCTCACTGTGTGAGCCAGGCCACTACCAGTCGAACCGCAAGCAACTTCGTATATTACTGGTGTCGTGAGAAGTGCATTGGCATGAGATGAACAGGGTAAAGAGGATGATAATGTAGGTCGCATGAGAACACTCCCCATTCTTTTCTTGCAAATATTGAGGCCAGTAGGTCAGGTTAGTAGGTTAGGCCAGTAGGTCAATTCAGAAGGTTAGGCCAGTAGGTCAATTTAGAAGGTTAGGCCAGTAGGTCTAGTCAGCAAGCTAAGTCGAGGTTAAGGTCAAGAATTAATGATTATTTGTAGCCATGTGCGGTTAAGGTCATACAGAGGTTTCAGTTAGAAGAGGGAGGGGGAGTGAATGCGCCAAGACATTCACTGATTGTAAGAGTAGAGGACGGAGGATCCAACTTCCAGTACACCCTGCTCTGAAGGATCCAGCCTCCAGTACACCCTGCTCTGAAGGACCCAGCCTCCAGTACACCCTGCTCTGAAGGACCCATACTGCTTCAGCACTTCACGAGAAAATAATTCATAAATCTGAAGGCATGAGAATGATCAGGGGGTCGATTTCAACATGCCATTGGCAGCGTGAGGTATATACATCAGGTCCCACCAGTGGGCATACAGTGCTACCAGTGGTAGCACTGTATGCCAGATGACGCATGCACAAATAACCCGCGCATATAAGAGAGAAGCTTACAACGATATTTCTGTTCGTCTTGAGCCATTCGGTCCAAGTCGGATTATTTGTGTATTGTTCCAGTCACGGTATTGTGCCGTTTTCTTCTTTATTCATGACACAGTATGTGGTTTATGGCATTTTATTGAGAAGACGTTTCGTTCTCCAGTGAGTTTACCAATTGATACAGTCGCTGGTGGTCAGAACGTCAAATAAAATACCACAAACCTCGTATTGTGTTTTATTTAAATATTCAGATATATTTATTATGAGACGTTTCGATCACTAGGGGGGTTAGTACATTGATTTGACTGATGAAGCTCCCAGTGGGCGAAACGTCTATTAAATGTCCCAAGAGTTGCATACGTGTCTTTATTAGCAACAAGTGGAAATTCAGAGACTGAGCAGAAATAAAAGAATTATACGACGTTTTACCCACAATGACGATTCTAATGAGTGAAACGTAGTAAAAAATATAATGTCCTGCTGAAAATGTGTGGGAATTGCCATGGTAATCATACCAAAGTACCAGTGGTTCTTGTGCAGAAAAGTAGTGCGAGGGGTCTTGCAACAAGAAAGCCAGTGACTACCTACAACTTGAACGAAATGAACATCTTTACTGAAGACGTTTCGGCCCTGAGTTCATCAAATACATGTATCTGAAGTGGTCAAGGACCAAATACCGAAACTTTTTTAGTAATGGCGTCCCGAGTGAATTTATTCGTGTCAGTTGACCTTCAGACTTGATAGTGTGGCCTGGGTGGAACTGTATGTTGCTCTGTGGCTTGGCCTCGTTTTTACCTGGTCGTTGTACATTGATTAGCATGTTGGGCCAGTGAACCTGGCTCACCGGTCAGCCAGTGAAACTGGCCCACCGGTCAGCCAGTGAAACTGGCCCACCGGTCAGCCAGTGAAACTGGCCCACCGGTCAGCCAGTGAAACTGGCCCACCGGTCAGTTCCTGTTCCAATCTCACAATTGCTGTAAATTTCGTTCTTTCTCGGCTTAAAAGTGGAATATATCGGGTCTCGAGGGAGTGTCGAAGTTCATCAATTGTTCGAAGCTTTGTTCAGTCAGATATTCATGATTAAGATTGTACCGGTGTAGATTTTGAGTCATAATGATTCCACATCTCAGCAGCTATCTAGTTGAGCTCTTTGAACCTGTTCGTGGTATATTGGTTAATACGTTAGTCAGAATAATCTGATTTCTTTCATTGTCTTGCTCTTCTGTCAGAGAATCTTCCCTTCAAATGATTAAAATTATCGATTTGATTCCCAGGAGGGATGAGAAATACTGACAAGTCTCCTTACACCTGAGGAATTAGACACGTGCAACACCTGGGTATCTATTTCAAAGGCCGTCAAAGATGCTGAGGTGTTGCAGATGTGCATTGAAATGAGCCGAGGTAGGATAGCAGCTGTATTTAAAATCTATATTTGTACTGCATGTGAAACTATATCAGAACAATACAAAGCTGTGCTAAATTATACTAAACTACACAAATAATACGACGACTTTTCGGTCCGACTTGGACCATTTACAAAGTCATGTGAGGGTTATTTGTGTATTGTTCCAGTCACGGTATTGTGCCTTTTTGTTATTTATACTGAACTATATTGCAATTGTACTAAACTGTGGAGAAAGCTAAAACTATAATTGCTCGACGATGTTAGCAGTGTTGTGGGTGACTCAGAGCACAACAGTCACACCTTAATTAAGACTCGTGCTTATAAGATGATTTGACTGGTAATCTCTCTCCCTCATCCTCTACCCCCCCCCCCCACATACATACACACTAGCTCGTGAAACTATGTTCCGTGTGTCTTACAACTGAGAATGTTGCTCCGAGTTAAATTTCTTCACCTGTCGTTCCTCCACAGAAACAAAATGTGCCTAAAAATTGGAAACACGTGCCTTATGAAGTGATTGTGAGTGTGTGAGTAAGAGTATTACCTGGTATCACATCTACCTCACACTAGGGGAGAACCCCAGCCTGGATCTCCACCCACCTCCACCCTCTCAACTCACCTCTTCTCTACACAGGGTAAGTCCTAGCTAATCTTATGGCAGTAATAATCTTAATTTCTGTAAAGTGTAGTAAACACTAATGAAGGATCAATTGCTGTGATAAATATATAAAATCCCTGGTTTTGCAGAGCATTTCAGGGAGCCCAAATAACTAATAACTAGTGATAAGTTATTTTATTAGATTGATTTACTAGAATGCCAGTAGTACAAGCAAGATTTTATATGGGAGGGGGGATTAAGCCAAGATTTAAATCTAGAGGGATTTGAAAACCACAAGTTGCTAATACAAAAAAGGTAATCGTCTTTAAAATTATAAAAATTTCACTGTGTGATTTTTTTAAAACTTATACTTTCATGGTCACTGGTCGATATAGAACCTTCATGGTACACACAACTGCGATAAAACACCTCAGTTACTGGGAACGCTTGAAGTTCCTCAACCTGTACTCCCTAGAACGCAGGCGGGAGAGATACATGATTATATACACCTGAAAATCCTAGAGGAATTAGTACCAAACTTGCACACGAAAATCACTCACTATGAAACCAATAGACTCAGCAGACGATGCAACATCCCAGCAATGAAAAGCAGGGGAGCCACTAGCACGATAAGAGACAACACAATAAGTGTCAGGGGCCCAAGACTGTTCAACTGTCTCCCAGCATTCATAAGAGGGATTACCAATAGACCCCTGGCTGTCTTCAACAAGGCGCTGGACAAGCACCTAAAGTCAGTACCTGATCAGCCGGGTTGTGGCTCGTACGTCGGTTTACGTGCGGCCAGCAGTAACAGCCTGGTTGATCAGGCCCTGATCCACTATGAGGCCTAGTCACAGACCGGGCCGCGGGAGCGTTGACCCCCGGAACTCTCCAGGTATAGATCGGTGAAAATTATGTAACTGAAAAAAGATTTCCCTGTGTGGAGGGGGGGGGCTTTATGCCCCTTAACCCCCCTCCTCGTGGCTGCGCTACTGTGGAATACTATGGTCTTAAATCTTTGATATTCTTTATAACAATTTAGTTCGTAATTTATGACATTTTTTTTTCTAATTTATTAGACATTTTATTTATGTAAGAGAAAGAGATGAAAATATTTCCCATTGGCAGTCATGTTATGTGATCATGATTGAATTACGGTGAGAGCGGCGGTGTATATACACGGGGGATGTGTATATCTAACTGTTGATACAGTGAGAGGTTACTGTAGGCTCTAGTTTAGGTATTAAATTATTCTTAACTGGTTGTGTATAGTTGACACACATCCTGACACACACTGTATTAGTTAGTACAAACTTTTATCCCAAAACTAACTTAGATACTTCTCCTAACTTCCCTATAATTAAGGTTATATAATTTTGCATATTCAATGATTTATTTTTTTATTCAGAAAGCATTATTTAACATCACTGAATCAATTCAGAAACTATAATTTCCAAATTTGCTTAGATCATTGCTTAATGATCCAGGAACGTAAATTAATGAATAAAAATATATTGACGAGAGACTTACTGTTTATAAACACAAGTATAAAATTTACTGTACTGTCGAAGGTCGTTTATTTTTATTACAAAATTAGTTTAAAATATTATGCACCCCAAACCCATCCTGTGAACGGTGGTCAAACGATTACAGAGGTACATAATGGGGTTATATCATTACTAATTATTGAGCTGCTCCCTACGTGTTGGAATATTGATTAGGCTCGTATCTAGTATACCTAAGTAGGTTAGTGGGTTAAATGGGTAGATGTGTGAGTAAATAGGTATTAGACAGGTACTATAGTGGTAGTCACTGGTAGCTTTATCAATTATTAAGGTGGAATGTTGTTTGTCTCCACGTTGTGTGTGTGTGTGTGTGTGTGTGTGTGTGTGTGTGTGTGTGTGTGTGTGTGTGTGTGTGTGTGTGTGTGTGTGAACCTTGAGTGTTGGCCCAGATGTGTGAAACATTGCTTGATCACGTTTTGAACTAGTGTTTCTCCATATTTAACATCTTAATGTTCGTCGAAATTTGAATGAACCTCCCGTGTACATCAAGTTGTTTGAACCCTGTATCGTCCGTCCGCTTTCTGGAACCCTGAGTGTGTTCTAACCCCATAGCTTTCATCTGCGTCCGTGAACCCCCCATAGCATCTGTGAACCCCACGAACCCCCCCCCCCATCAGTGTCCGTCCGTGTCCGTGAACCCCTGCGGACCCCCTTTAGCTTCCGTTAGTGTCTGTGAATCCCCGTCCGTGAACGCATAGGTTGCCACCAGCGTGGGCGCGCCTGTGCGTCACACATGTGCGTGATCACGAACAATTTCTCGCTGGAACAAGTGCGAGGGTCTGGCGTAGGCGCGGCCTTGAAACACTCGCGTTCTCGAATATTTGAGTCCATTGCGCACTGCAAATTTCGTGCCACGAATGATGGCGCTTTGTCTTCAGTGGCTCGAAAAATATACTAAAATATTGGATTATGTAGAGGCAGGAGGTGTTGGTTGGGAGGCACTGTACTTTCCACCTCCAGAACTATAACATCTCCACCCCTCCTTCAGAGTGCAGGCACTGTACTTCCCACCTCCAGAACTACAACATCCTCACTCATCCTTCATAGTGCAGGCACTGTACTTCCCACCTCCAGAACTACAACATCCTCACTCATCCTTCATAGTGCAGGCACTGTACTTCCCACCTCCAGAACTACAACATCCTCACTCCTCCTTCAGGGTGCAGGCACTATACTTCCCACCTCCAGACCTATAACATCCCCACCCCTCCTTCAGGGTGCAGGCACTTTACTTCCCACCTCCAGAACTACAACATCCTCACCCTTCCTTTAGGGTGCAGACACTATATTTCCCACCTTCAGACCTGTAACATCCCCACCCCTCCTTCAGGGTGCAGGCACTGTACTTCCCACCTCCAGACCTGTAACATCCCCACCCCTCCTTCAGGGTACAGGCACTGTACTTCCCACCTCAAGAACTACAACATCCTCACACCTCCTTCAGGGTGCAGGCACTGTACTTCCCACCTCCAGACCTGTAACATCCCCACCCCCTCCTTCAGAGTGCAGGCACTGTACTTCCCACCTCCAGAACTACAACATCCTCACCCCTCCTTCAGTGTGCAGGCACTGTACTTCCCACCTCCAGAACTACAACATCCTCACCCCTCCTTCAGGGTGCAGGCACTGTACTTCCCACCTCCAGAACTACAACATCCTCACTCCTCCTTCAGGGTGCAGGCACTGTACTTCCCACCTCGAGAACTACAATAATTTTAAGGCTGTATTAGCATTAGCGGTTTAGATATGATATTATTACGTATGTCGCATATTAGTTGAAATTTTTCTTCGAGTCAGCCACATGCTGCAGGGCAGGATGGTGATGGCAGGGCAGGATGGTGATGGCAGGGCAGGGTGGTGATGGCAGGGCAGGGTGGTGATGGCAGGGCAGGTTGGTGATAGGGTAGGGTGGTGATGGCAGGGCAGGGTGGTGATGGCAGGGCAGGGTGGTGATGACAGGGCAGGATGGTGATAGGGTAGGGTGGTGATGGCAGGGCAGGGTGGTGATGGCAGGGCAGGGTGGTGATGGCAGGGCAGGGTGGTGATGGCAGGGCAGGATGGTGATGGCAGGGCAGGATGGTGATGGCAGGGCAGGATGGTGATGGCAGGGCAGGATGGTGATGGCAGGGCAGGATGGTGATGGCAGGGCAGGTTGGTGATGGCAGGGCAGGGTGGTGATGGCAGGGCAGGTTGGTGATAGGGTAGGGTGGTGATGGCAGGGCAGGGTGGTGATGGCAGGGCAGGGTGGTGATGACAGGGCAGGATGGTGATAGGGCAGGGTGGTGATGGCAGGGCAGGGTGGTGATGGCAGGGCAGGGTGGTGATGGCAGGGCAGGATGGTGATGGCAGGGCAGGATGGTGATGGCAGGGCAGGGTGGTGATGGCAGGGCAGGATTGTGATGGCAGGGCAGGATGGTGATGGCAGGGCAGGATGGTGATGGCAGGGCAGGGTGGTGATGGCAGGGCAGGGTGGTGCCGGCAGGGAAGGGTGGTGACGGCAGGGCAGGATGGTGACGGCAGGGCAGGGTGGTGATGGCAGGGCAGGGTGGTGATGGCAGGGCAGGATGGTGATGGCAGGGCAGGGTGGTGATGGCAGGGCAGGGTGGTGATGGCAGGGCAGGGTGGTGATGGCAAGGCAGGATGGTGATGGCAGGGCAGGGTGGTGATGGCAGTGCAGGGTGGTGATGGCAGGGCAGGATGGTGATGGCAGGGCAGGGTGTTGATCGCAGGGCAGGGTGTTGATGGCAGGGCAGGGTGGTGATGGCAGGGCAGGGTGGTGATGGCAGGCAGGGTGGTGATGGCAGGACAGGGTGGTGATGGCAGGGCAGGGTGGTGATGGCAGGGCAGGGTGGTGATGGCAGGGCAGGGTGGTGATGGCAGTGCAGGGCGGTGATGGCAGGGCAGGGCGGTGATGGCAGGGCAGGGTGGTGATGGCAGGGCAGGGTGGTGGTGGCAGGGCAGGATGGTGATGGCAGGGCAGGGTGGTGGTGGCAGGGCAGGGTGGTGATGGCAGGGCAGGGTGGTGATGGCAGGGCAGGGTGGTGATGGCAGGGCAGGATGGTGATGGCAGGGCAGGGTGGTGATGGCAGGGCAGGGTGGTGATGGCAGGGCAGGGTGGTGATGGCAGGGCAGGGTGGTGATGGCAGGGCAGGGTGGTGATGGCAGGGCAGGGTGGTGATGGCAGGGCAGGGTGGGGATGGCAGGGCAGGGTGGTGATGGCAGGGCATGGTAGTGATGGCAGGGCAGGGTGGTGATGGCAGGATGGTGATGGCAGGGCAGGGTGGTGATGGCAGGGCAGGGTGGTGGTGGCAGGGCAGGGTGGTGATGGCAGGGCAGGATGGTGATGGCAGGGCAGGATGGTGATGGCAGGGGAGGGTGGTGATGACAGGGCAGGGTGGTGATGACAGGGCAGGATTGTGATGGCAGGGCAGGATGATGGCAGGGCAGGGTGGTGATGGCAGGGCAGGGTGGT